CCTCCAGTCTGCGTCTCTGTGTACTTCCTGTTTTACTCTGATAGTCTCCCGTCAGTGTGTTTCATCTTGTGTTTGCTCTTCCACTGTCTCATCATGGTTATTCGTGTCAGCTGTGCTCCCCGTGTGTTCTCGCTTCCCTCATGATCCTTCTGTGTATTTATGTCCGCATCTCCCTCAGTTATGTGTCGTGTCCTCCCTCATAGCTGTGCGACTCTCCCTGTGTTTCCCCGTGTGAATGGTCATTAGAATTTCCCAGTTTAGTTTTGTACCGTTTTGCTTTTTTCCAGCAACAAAGCTGTGTTTTCTGAGTTCACATCCTGCTAAAAAAAATCATTTTTTGATATGTGTCCATTAGAATGATGATGTACTTTATTTGTGTTCTTATAGCCTAAGTTTAGGGTCATCAGTGATGATTGACTGAAATTGGTACAAATATTTCACTCGTTTAGATTTCTAAATCTGGCCGGCTAATTGAACAGGATGTCAGTTTATACCAGAAGCCCCAACATATTGGCTGCCGTCCCTACAGGCCAAGTCAGAAGACAATAGCCTAGTTTTTCATATTGCTATAAAATAAACTTAAAGTGGTGACAACATACTAATGAATGGGATTCATTAAAGCCACCATGCTGTTAGTTAGCTCTAATTAGCATGCCCAGTGGCACTGCACTCAGTGGTAGGTGGAAAGTCAGCTTCCTCTTAAAGTCTCCTTGGCTAAACTTCAGGACAGCTCTACTGTACAATCTTATCACTGCTTTTAAATTAGCTCAATCACCATAAACTGCAAAAACAGATACATCAGATAATTTACAGCCTTTCAGGGTCTGGACAGACATCTCTTATCCAAAGACCTGACTATCAATTACCTTTGTCGGGCATCTGTGATGTCCCTGCTATGCTATCAGATATGATAGAACAAGAGAAGGAGAACGGGACAAAAAGAGCATGAAGATAAAAGGTCACTCTCTTTTCTGCCTGGTACACAAAGAAAAGTGAAATATGTATTCCAGTTTGCTGTGATGTTACAATAAAAGGACCGTCTGCAGCGTTTCTTGGCTTGCCTTGTCTTATGTTTTTTTTCCTGAAATGTACCACTGTGTTCAGTCCTGCTGTGTTAACCAGGCTGTTCTCCGTCATATGCCCTTGCATCTCTTTGAGCCTGCACTATTGTTGTCCCAAACCTTGAGCATGGGGAGCTGTCCTTGCCAAAGTGCCTCCATTTTTCTTTTCATTATTTTTTAGAAAGTATTTATTCAGTTCATGCTTACACGGCAACGCCTTAGTTAGAAGTGACACATAAGAGGATTAAGAGATCTTTGAGAAATGCTTTTATGGAATGGATTATATCTGATTGGCACGGGTTTTTTAAATTGTTGACGCACCAGATTTTTCATTAATTTATGGATGTTTCAAAGTATCCACAGCATAAGATGTTTAGGGTTTTAGCTAAGCTTGGGTTGCTTGATGGTGCATTTCTGAACCCAGGCATATATGTTTATGGCTGGGTTTTATTGTGTCGTTGCAGGATATATAACATTTTCTGATGACGTGTTTTTGTTTCATGGCTAATTACTAGCACCTCTTATTTGGTCAGATGGATTGGTGTTGTGCTTTCTGACCCTCTTTCTACGATTTGAGCTACAGTTTGCAGCCAGTATAAAGATTGACAAAATTGATTTGTTTGCATTTTTTTCTCCCATGTCATACACGTGTAATCACAGAAAATAACATCACGTGTGGGTAAGACTGATCCATCTGAGCAGCCCCCCAACGAGTTTAACATTAACGTCCTAAGACCCGAACTCTTCCACGGCATGCATTTTTAATTTCTCTTTGATATTTGGGCTGATTGGGGCCTGATAAATGTAAAAACAACGAATTAGCAGATTTTTTCTTTTTTACCTAATTTTAGTTTCTAAGAAAAATGAGAGCCACTCTGTTGTCATTTGGACATTGAACTACTGCTCCTCCATACAGCAAAATCCAGGTTTATACTGATGATGTTGTGTTTTATATCCTCTTAAGATTTAACACTAGTGACCTCCAGAAACCTTTTTACAGGTTTTTTTGATTATTCTAAGCTCCTTTAACAAATAAATTGTTGTGTTTCCTCAGTGAGATACATTACAGTGCCATAAATATTTGCATGCTGGATTACACTGACTATCCTTCTCTTTGAAACACAAAACATTGGCTGTTAATACAAAAGTCGCTTCTTTAAAAAGGAAGAACATGTCTCGTCAGTAACAGTTTTGCTTATTAGAGCCTTTCCAGGTGTTTTTTTTCTTCTTTGCATCTCTGTATTGTAGCATGGGTGTGTTTGAATCTGGGAACATTTAATTCAATTAAATCATTAGGATTAGATGCTGACCTCTCATTTTAATGAGGGCTAACAAGGCGTTTGAATGAGCAACACTAATTAGGGGCACATTATTCATCTCCTAGAATAAGGGTTTCATTGTAGTTAGACAAAAGAAACTAATAGCTGCGCTAATGGAACCAAGCATATAAGTTGCCTGTTTTTTTTTTTCTTTCTCTTTGGAAAAGGTGAGGAATATGTATTCAGATGAAATAAGAGCTTTTATGGAAAATAACTTTCTTGTATGCCACACTTTAACACAGCATCATTAAATCTTTTCTGGATTGTTTGCACTGCTTCTTAGCAATTTGTTGTAGTGTTGTGAGCAGGATTTTCTGGCAGAATAATCAAAGACTAAGAGAAGTACCGGGATAACAGCAGCATCTTAGTGATCTCTTGTTCAGATCATCCAGCATCATGGCCAGCGTTTTTAGGCTTTCTTTTTCGGCCAAAGAAGAGCACAGATGCATATTTGGATGCAGATTTTTTTTCTAGTCAGCCTGGTGATATTATTTTAAATCTATCTGATGCAAATAATGATGCACAAAATCAGTTTTAGCCTCTTGCTTTTTGCATGTCTACAATGCCTCTCAGCTTTAAATCCTGATAACGTATGGCCGCGGAAGCCGTGTAAAATTATAATGGACCCCAGAGGTTCTTCTGTCTATTCATGTCTGTTTTGAGGTGTTTTGTGTCAGAAGTCTCCGTGTTTAATACTTTAAGCTGTTAGAAAAAAAGAGTGCCAGAGGATGAGTACACAGATCTAAGAGAGTGCAGAGTGCAGAGAACCTGGAGTTGCTGTCAGTCAGAGCAGAGTTTATCAGCACATCGAAGAGGGGATGGGTATGGGTAGGCTTTCATCTTAACCACATGTTGTCATTCTACATTAGAGCTGATAGAGTGTGCTTAGGTAGGTGGGCAAACAAGGTTAGGCAAGATGAAAGTGACTACAGATGAAGAAGAGACAGGATTTATGGAACTGCTCTCAATTGCTGTGTAGGCTCACTGAAGGACGGCCAAGGATGAGGCTTGTGTTAATGCAAACAACGCTGTTAACAGCCACAGTATGTGTGAACAAAACTGCATTTTGGATTGAATAGAAGCGAGTAACAAAGTGCTTTACAGAGTTGCACACTTAGCTCCGTGATTGATTGTTGACTAATTATATTGAGGGTTTTTTTTACCCATGTGAAAGCTCTTTGAGTACAGTTTGAGGTTGTGAAAACAACAATGGCTGGCTCGTATTTGTCCATATAAATAAATTCAAATTTCTAAAATATTTTTTTTACCAGATTTACGCCTACTGCCTTAACAAAGGAAAAAGAAACAGAAAACGCCAAAGTCCTGTCGTTTTTATTACAGTATTGTTTTTGTAAAGTAAAATTAAAAATGAATGGCTTCTTTAATAATGTTTTTTTCTCATGCTTATGATTGACAAAAAGCTATAGAAAGTTAAAATAGTAAGTAGTCTTTCTCACTTGCTATAAGGAGCACACTTAAATTGTCATGTTTGAGTCTGTATTTAAAAACTGGAGGTATAAGTTGGAGATGGTGGTGCTAACAAAGCTGGAGGTGGCAGAATTTTATAGGCCCAGATTTTTGTTGGGAGTGACCCGAATGGAGAGCATTAGAATTTAGTATATCAGTGAAGCTGGATGAGTTTAAATACCTGGGGTCAACCATCTAAAGCGATGGACGATGCTCAAGAGAGGTGAGAAAGAGTGCAGGCAGAGTGGAGTGGGTGCAGATGAAAAGTAGCAAGAGTGAAAGGGAAGGTTTACAAGATGTTAGTGAGTCTTACTGTGATGTATGGTTTGGTGATGGCACAGGAGGTGAAGATGGAGAGCTGAAAGTCTAAAGATTGTCATTGGAGATTAGAAAGGAGTCCATCAGAAGCACAGCTCAGGTTGAGCAGTTTGGGAATAAAGTTAGAGAGGGGAAACGGAGATGATTTGAACATGTGCAGAGGAAGGATAGTGGATACACTGGAGAAAGGATGTTGGAGGTGGAGCTGCCAGGAAGGAGGAAAACAAGAAGAGCACAGAGTGGATGTAGTGAAGAAGGAGATGCAGAAGGTCGATGTAACACAAGAGGATGCTAGAGATAAAGTGAGGTGGAGGCAGATGGTCTGCTGTCGTGGCTCTTCACAGGAAGAAGTTACAGCTCTAGTGGAGTTGACCTAAGGCAGTGGACAGTTTGATGTATTTTGTGCTTTATACACAGATTCTTTTGAGGCCAAAAAGAAATAAAATGCACATTTTACATTATGATCTAATGTTGTTGTTTCTTTAATGAAATAACAGGATGTTTGTCTCACACCCTGCTCTATTGGATGCTGCAAATCCTTTTTTTAACATGTAACAATAATCACGAGCTAATAATATGTCTCATTATTAGCTATAAGCCTCATTTGAAGACTACTGGTCAAATCACACTTAAAGGAGTATGGGATCACATACCTTTATAATACTAAATCCTGAATAATGACAAACAGCAGCATGAATGCAACTTCCCTTTTAAATTGCATGAACAATACTAACTTCATAAAGTCATATAAAGCAGACGTCTACATTTTTGAATATACTATAATAATAATAATATAAAGTGGTGTGTGTGTGTGTGTGTGTTTTTTCTCTTTCAGCACTGAAAGACTCTCGCTTTCAGCTCGTGAACTTCTCAGACAACGAGCTGCGGGTGTCACTGTCTAATGTGTCGCTGTCAGACGAGGGTCGATATGTTTGCCAGCTGTACACAGACCCCCCGCAGGAGGCCTACGCTGAAATCACAGTGCTAAGTAACAAAGCGCACAAACATATACATACATGTGCAGACAAACGCTCAGTGTTATTGTTAGAATTAAGTGAGTTAAACAGCAATTAGTCTACACAAGGTCTTAACACATTAATGTATTAGTATAGATGTGTGAGATGTGAGATTGTTTTAGGCTTTTTATGGTGAGCTTAGTGAGAAAGGTGTTCAAATAATAAACAAAATATAACTTTTTCAATAATATTTTCACAGTTTTCCTTAAATTTAGAGACTAGCCCAACTTTATAAGTAGGCATACCTTTACTAGGATATTTTGGAAACAAATCTTGGGACTTTTAACTATAACTGAACAATATTGCTCTATAAATGCTGTTGTGATAATAGCTGATAAATATGAACATAATAATATGACATCAACATGCATTTTTTAAACTTTGTGTTTATTGTTTTATGTTTTCAGTGTTTCAAGTTTGTGATTGTCAGATTTTTAAAATATTTGTCATCTGTAACTGTAAAAACACTTAGTGGCCACTTCATTAGATACACCTTGCTAGTACTGTGTTGGACCCATTTTGCCTTCAGAGCCGTCTTAATTATTCAGTGGTGGAAACACTCCTCAGCAACTTTGTTCCATATTGTCATGATAGCATCGCACAGTTGCTGTCGTTTCCATGATGTAAATCTCCTGCTCCACCTCACCTCAGCCGTGCTCTGTTGGACTGAGATCTACTGACTGTGGAGGAAACATGAGTTGATTTGAATTTAGTGACACGGCGTGTTATTCTGGTAGAAGCAGCCATCAGCAGCCATCAGAAAATGGGCACACTATGGTCATAAAGGCGTGGACATGGAACAGCAACAGTACTTAGGTAGGCTGTGGTGTTTAAATGATGGTCAGCCGGCCCTAAAGGACCCCTAGTGTGCCATCCAGTGTGTCTGCTGCTGTAGCCCATCTGCTACAGGTGGTTGCTACGAGTAAGTGGTTGTTTGAGTTACGTTTGCTTTCCTGTCAGCTTGAAGCAATCTGGCCGTTGTCCTCTGACCTATGACAACAAAATGGCCCAGAGAACTGCCACTCGCTGGATATTTGATCTTTTACGAACCATTCTCTGGTTCCCTTGGAGGTCGTTGTGCAGAGAAATTCCAGTAAATCTGGTAGATTTTAAAACACCAGCAACCATGCCATGCTGATGTTTGCTTTGGACCTCAGCAGGTTATTCCAATCATGTCTACATGCCTAAATGCTGTCGTGTGATTGGCTGGCTATTAGTTGAACAGTTGTATCTAATAAAGTGGCTGGTGAGTATATATTGAATAAATAACTGCAAAATATGAGTTATTTAAACGACATCCAACATGTTCACAGTATTGCAAATGATAATTCCTGAATTAGATTTTTGCACTTTTCTAATTCTAATTTTAAAAGAAAAGCCTTCTAATATCAGTCCTGTTTTCTTCTTAGCTTGTGGTTTTTAGGGTGTACTGCATTGCCTCAGTGTTTACACAGTTCTGTTTTTGTGTCCTGTCATAGTTCCTCCAGGTAACCCCATCATTGAGGCCCGGGATGAGGTCCTGAGCGAGGGCAACGAGACAGAGATGACCTGCACTGCCATGAGCAGTAAGCCTGCTGCCATCATCAGATGGATGAAAGGAGATAAAGAGCTTCCAGGTACTCTAGGCACTGTACACTGACTTTGAGAAAATCCCATCCAACAGTCAAGACCTTTCCTCTCTTACAGTTTTTCTCAGTCGCTTTGGGGCTTTTCTCACATCACTATTAACATTTCCACAGTAGTTTGTGTATTTCTCAAAACAATTAGTGCAAACTGCTAAACCTAGTGGATAACCTGCAAAAGCAGGTCACTTGCTCAAAATTGATAATCCAGTATTCATGTCAAGGAAACTGTCAGTGTCATCAAAATGAGAAGTCTTGACACCATCTTGATGAACAAGATAATCAAATGGCTTTGTAATGTTTTCATTATGACAGTGTACAGTATTCTCTCAGTGTCTTCCAGTGCAAAAAAAAGTCAGAACTCGGTGACACGTCCTGAAAATGCTCAAGACAGCACTATACACTTTTTGCACAGCCATGTACAGTAAAATCTACAGTAAAGTTAAACATTCCTGTAGTTATGGAAGTAAATGAGTACAAGACACTGAATACGTATGTTTCACATTTTTACTGTGTAGGATGTTTGTAATTCTACAACATTGTGCAAAAGAAAAATACTCTACAGTCACATATTTAGAATAAACATGAGAAACACCCTTTTGGTAGAGCGGTGCACAATGTGAACAATATAACAGTACATATTGTAACTGAACATACGTAAATCATTCTGGCACATTCAGACGTCCCTGTCTGTCTGGTCACATATTCTCATCTACATCACAACGGATATCATCCCTTGCAATGCAGCGAGGAAAGTATCTCCTGGAGTGGCGAATCCACCCTCTGCATGACTCTGCTGTGATGTCGTCACATGCTGCATCCATGGCTGCCAGCAGGGCCATTTGTGCATGTGAATAAACCTTCCACCTCCAGGCAGACAAAAACTCCTCTATCGGATTAAGGAATGGGGAGTAGGGAGGGAGATATTCAACAGGCATTCTGTCATGTGCTGCAAACCACTGTCTGACCAGATGTGAGTAGTGAAAAGGGACATTATCCCAAACAACAACATACTTGTTGAGTTGACCTCCACCCCTGTCATTCTCAGGGACTATGGCATGAGAGAAATTGTTCAATTTCGGGGACAGGAAAAAATAATGACAAAAAGGTATAACATTTGCTTGACGGCATTTGAAAACTAGTTCAACAATTTTGTATGTAATGACTCAAGCAATGAAATAAAGACTATTGGTTTTATTGGGAACGACTATTTAGCATCCAAAAGTATAGTTCATTTTGACTGACATGACATAAGCAAATGATAATGTTGTCGAGGGCAGAGAATTGTATGAAAGCAACTGATACATGTCCAAGAGCATTTGCAATTTGTTCAGAGGAAGGAGAAATTGCTACTATGATGTGCACAAATGACTAAAGGTTGTGGAGATTGCACTAATGCTTTTGAGAATTTTCATTTTGATCTGAGAAAAGCACCAAAGCGACTGAGAAAAACTGTAACACAAATAAATATATGTACAACTATCCATTAACTCATGTGTGTAAAAATAAATGAATAAATAAAAACACATTTTCTTTCAAACATCAAAATTTCAAAGATCATATTCATAATCCTGCCTATGTACCAACCAATTTTTAGAATTCAAACTAAACCCACAATTCTATTCACCTGTTAAAATCCAAATGAAGTTAAATAGCTTAAAATTTCCTTTTTGTCCTCTACAGAGCCGGCCTTTTTGTCATTATCCTTTAGAGAAAATAAGTGGCCACATATTTGGAAACCCCATCGTTTTGTATTTAGTGAGCAGCATACTGCAAGATTCTGTGAATACACAAACGAATAATTTGGATACATTGTTACATATCAGTATTTTTGCCCTCTTTATGTTTTAAAGAATTCACACATTTTATTTGGAATCATATTAAGCTAAGGTTTGGCTGAAACGTTTGCACAAGGTCAAAGCTAAAATCAGACCACAGCAAACATGTTCTTGACTTGCAGTACTCTGATCACATTTTTCTTTGACTTGAGTTCTTCATGGCAAAAAACAAGCTTTAAAAGCAGAAGCAAGATCAGTGAGTGATGGGTGAATATATTAATACTGCTACTGAAGCCAGGAGGACTGCACTGTTTGGCATTTAAGAAATGACTTGACAAATAGATTCTAAAAATTATTTTATTTTTATATAATTCCATTTATAGGCACACTTTTTCCTTTGAGCGCATATTAATGGTGTTACTTTTTAAATGGAGCTCTGCTGCGACTTTGAATAGATTCCATTAGAGCAATTTGCATTTGCAGTAATGGCTGAGGCCTGTTGGCATCCTGACAACCTGCATGCCTTCATCAAAGGTAGCTGCGCTTTAGAACTCGGTGCAGAGCTCAGGGGTTGAACAGGCCTCCTGCCAAGCAGCTCCACCTCAGAGTCCAGACAGTAAGCTTTGTAAAGACTTTGAAACAAAGGTCCGAATCAGAAGCTGTTCTAAAAGCCCGGAGCAGGTTCACCTCCGCACCGAGGCGCATAAAACCTTCAGTGGCCAGCTCAAATCGAAGAATGTTCCATTGTAACAAGATCAGGGATTGGCTTGCAGCTGGCTTCTAACATCACAAAAAGACTCATTATGTTCAGTATGGCAAGAACGGCAAATTCTTTAGGCATTGAATAGCCAGAGCCGATGGTCTTTTAGTCATTGATATCACAAAAGTTGCCATAAAAATGAACCTAAATTGTAATTTAAACTGTTTTTTCTGAACAGATGCACATACATTAAAATGTATTTCATGTGATATTATTGTTGAGAAATACAGTTAGCACCACCATGAATAGATTACAGTTTTCCTAAACTTACACATATTACTTAATGATATTTAAGAAATGCATTTATCCAGAAAGCACTGTTACTTAAGTGCATTAAAGTGCATTAAAGTACAAAGACTAATGGTTTTTTCCAGCATACTTACTTTTGTAAATGGAGAAAGTGAAACTAGTGACCACTGTGGCTGTTAGTCACAGTGAAATACTGATTCAGGGTTTCCAGTAACTAATTTAAATAGGAGCTTGCCAGGCTCTGCATACAAAATCCATTCCCATTCAGCATTTTCTTTTTATTTAACACACTGTGCTGTGTCATTGTTTGCTTCCACCGAGTATTCCCAGCCTCTTTAACTGAGCTCTCAAACAATGCCCATTTGTTTGTTTTGTGGAATGACAGAAAAATTATTTGTGTAATGCTAAACGCCCTTCAACCCCGCAGACATGTTGTTTTCTCACACTTGTTGGGAATGGATTGACATTTACAGAATAGGGTCAGCACTCTGTGAAGCTCTACAACTGCTAGATACAATTTTTCGCAGTAGCACAAAATACAGGTGTACTTAATAGCTCACTTGTCACAACACTACGTTTGGAGCATGCTGTTTGCTTTTATCAATTTTTGCCATAGGTGAAAAGGTGCTACTAGCTGAAGCAGCCTCAACGGTTGCAAGTTCTCTCAGATAAACCATCCTTTATTATTGTACGTACAGGTGTGGTCAAAGTTTATATACACTCGTTATGAGCATGGGTGCCGTGGTAATTTTGGACTTTTTTTAACCCTTTTTTTTTACAGGATGGGATGATTGTGCAACATAAATCTTTAATGACTTTAAAAGCAAGAATTGGGTATACAAGTTGACTTTATTTTGGACTTTTTGTAATGCATACAAGATTACAAGTATAGATAGATAGATAGATAGATAGATAGATAGATAGATAGATAGATAGATAGATAGATAGCCAGCCAGCCAGCCAGCCAGCCAGCCAGCCAGCCAGCCAGCCAGCCAGCCTCAGGTGCAGGCCGTGTGAAGATGCCCCTGATGCCATAACCAAGTGGCCAGCGTAGTATACAGAAACATCTGTGCCGAATATGCCCTGGAAGTCCTGAGGTCAAAATGGGAGACCGAGCTAAGATCCTGTGGGACTTCCAGATACAGACGGACAAACTGGTGGTGGCTAACCAACCGGACATAGTGGTGGTAGACAAACAGAAGAAGACGGCCGTAGTGATCGATGTAGCTGTTCCAAATGACAGCAACATCAGGAAGAAGGAACACGAGAAGCTCGAGAAATATCAAGGACTCAGAGAAGAGCTTGAGAAAATGTGGAGGGTGAAGATAACAGTGGTCCCAGTGGTAATCGGAGCGCTAGATGTGGTAACACCACCACCACCACCACCGTGCTTAACAGCTGGTACAATGTTCTTAGGTTAGAAAGGTTCATGTGTTCTCCTTATCATTGTGGCCAAATAGCTCAATCTTTGTCCCGATGACCATAAAATATTTCTCCAGAAGGCATTTAGTTCGTCTATGTTAGCAGCTGCCAATTTCAGTAAGGTCTGAAGTTGCTGATTCTGGAACCCGGGTTTCTTTCTCGGTTGGCAGCTTTTCAGTCCATGACAATGTGAAACCTGCTTCACTGTGGACAGTGATGCCGGTGTTCCACAAGTTTATGGTAGTTTATGTTTATCGTAGGCTTAAGTCTTGGTGGGTTTTTGGGTTGTTCTTGAACAATTTCCTCTAAAGTGTGACAGTTTTGGTCTCCTTCCACACCTTAGCAAAATGGTTACACATCCGAATAACTTGTAGCTACGTGAAATGAACTGATGTTCCCGGAAACTGCACTTGCTTAGAAATGACTCCAAGAGAGATTTCTTGGTCTCTTCCTCTACAATTCTCCTTTTTAGTTCTCATTGTTCTGAGTGTTGGTCATCCCATCAGTGCTGTCAGACAAATTATTTTTATGCTGACAAACAGAAACTACCTGTTGTAGTCAATCATGGTCATAAATGAGAAGTTACTCAGTCTTGGCCTTGTCTAGTTAAAAGACACTGTAGAACCTTCAGCATCACTTCTTAAAAGATTCAATTGAGTGTATGTATATATTTGAACCTTCATCTATACTTTTCAAACTTGTTGTATGCTCTGCAATTATTCCACCCTGGAAGTTCAAAGAAATCTTTAAATGCCCAAAATTAAATCAAGATCTTTCTTTTTGTT